GATACTTTCCTAGGGCGGAAAATATCGATATATATCGCCAAATCGATTTATTTATACAGCCCTAGTCAACATGGAGGACATGAGATTCTGTGCAGGTCTGGGAAACGGGTCAGGCTCGTGGGTTTGATGATCAACGTGGTTCTGAACAAATCTGATTCTTAGTTCATGAACAAATTCAGTGAAGCTGTTTCATGTTTTAATGCCTTTAATAATTGTTCAGAGGAGAAAGACAATAGATTGGTTTTCATTTTTATAGTCAAAGTTTCATTCAGAACATGAAAATACACCAAATCAGGCAATTAGACGCCAGCAGCTCGTCGATTTTAGCTTTATTTAACCTGACAGAAGGTGGCGCTGTGACAGGAAACCCAACAGGAAGTGGCCCAGAATGAAAGGTTTTTTCTGTCCCTAGTGTGAAACGTCCACCAGCAGGACCGGCTTTACTTTCCGCCCTGCAGCTTGTGGACTCCCATCACGGTCAGAGCCAGAACCTCCAGCAGAACCTCTGGTGGCACATCGAAGAGATCAGTCAGCGACTTCAGAACCTCGTCAGATGAGCAGAGGAGATCAGCGGCCCAACGCAGACGTCCATCTGGCTGCAGGGCGGCGGGGACAGAACCGGGCAGACTGGGCTCATCTCTGTCCTTCAGACTGTCCACCTGGAGACACAGGGAGACAGATGGGGACACATGGAGACAGATGGAGACAGATTGGGACACATGGGGACAGATGGAGACAGATGGGGACACATGAGGACAGATGGAGACAGATGGAGACAGATGGGGACACATGGGGACAGATGGGGACACATGGAGACAGATGGGGACACATGAGGACAGATGGGGACACATGGGGACAGATGGAGACAGATGGGGACACATGAGGACAGATGGGGACACATGGGGACAGATGGAGACAGATGGAGACAGATGGAGACAGATGGAGACAGATGGGGACACATGGGGACACATGGGGACACATGGGGACAGGTCCAGTATTCAGATGTAATCAGCCTCATTTAGTCTCTAATTGTCCGAATTCACTGGATCTGAACACGTTGGTGAACTGAAAGACTGTGACTGAAAGTGTTCTCAGTTTTTCATGCTTGTTTTTATCCCAGTGGGTTAAATTGTGTTTTGATCTCATGAATTTTTGTCTTGAGTTTTGAAAAATGTGTGCAGGTTGAGGAAATGTGACGGTGAGGAAAAGAAGTGGACGAACCAGCTGGTGGAGGACGGTGATGGTCTCAGGACTTCCTGAGGTCAGAGATCCCTGCAGTGGCAGAGGCAGAGCTACAGAAAGCAGCAGAAGGAGAAGACGTTCAGAGTCCATCTGTCTCATCTTGGATGTTCTCCACAGGAGGAACCAAAAACATCCCTGCAGATTCAGACCTGAAAACAACTAAAAGCTGAAGTTCCTGAGCTTCTGCTCAGGAGACTCACCATCCAAGGCGGCAACCAGAACACGAAGACCGTCCCTCGCCTTGGGCTCTTTGGATTGGTCCAGGATGTCCACGAAAGAAGACACAGCCTTAGACACAGGAGGCCCACTGCCATCGTCCAGCTGAGAGGAACAGGAAGACGGTGATGCACTGATCCAGACCGGACTGTGAGGTTAGAAAACTGATCCCGACTGAGAAGCTGTGACGGAGATTTCTGGGAGACGCTGCTGCTCTATAATCTGTGCATCTCCTGACCAGGGAGCAGAAATCCTCTGATTCTCAGACGAGTTTAAACCAAAGACTTACTATGTCCTCCAGCTCACTCAGAGCATCCTCTTCCTCCAGAACCTCTCTGAGCTTTTTCAGCACATCTCCACGAATCGACTCTGGAAGTCTGTCAATCAGGTTCAGAATATTTTCCTTTGCTTCAATCCCTGCAGGAAAAACAGTCAAAACCAGCAAGAATCTGTTATGGATCCAGATTCACTTCTCATATGACACTAAGTTTCCTCTAATAAACCTGGAATCTTATGAACTAAACATTAATCACGATGGGAATTTGGACATTAATGTTCCTCCAGTTTTACATAAAACCAAATAACTGTTAGAAAAAGTCCTGCCTGTTAAGTTCTGGTTTTAAAGTCTTTTTATGGCTCTAGAACAGGGGTGTCAAACTCCAGTCCTCAAGGGCCGCTGTCCTGCAGTGTTTAGATGTGCCACAGGTAAAAAACAGTGGAATGAAATGGCTTAATTACCTCCTCCCTGTGTAGATCGGTTCTCCTGAGCCTTGCTAATGACCTAATTATTCTTTTCAGGTGTGGTGCAGCAGAGGCACATCTAAAAGTTGCAGGACAGCGGCCCTTGAGGACAGGAGTTTGACACCCCTGCTCTAGAGGCCTTCAGTCATCAGCAGATGGACAGAGAGAGGAAGACATGCAGCAAATGTCCCAGGGCCGGGAATCGAACGGAGGACGCCTGCATTGTGGACAGCAGCCCAGGGGCGGAGCTATGGGGGGGGCCTAAGGGGGCCGGATGGGAGGCAGAATATGACTTCAGAGATTCAAGTCTACCAGTCTGATGGAGAAGGTGGGGCCTCTCCTGTTGAGTACGGTGTATAATAAGTGTAGCTTACTGGTCCCCCCAGTAGGTTATATAGTTGGCTGCCCCAGTCATTGTTGACTCATGGATGCAAAAAACTTTACAAGACCGACTGATTTTAGTGATATAGTGGGTGTAAAATATTGAATAAAACGTGCTACGTTTTATTTTCATTCTTACTTTTAACTTTATGACACACAAATTTACAAGTTGATCGCGATATTGTCTCCAAGTGTATTCTGGGTAAAACATGTCACCAACCATCCACAACGTCATCATCAGTCAGATACTTGGGAACGGATTGTAAACTAGGTAGATTTGAGTATTTTTACGACAAATATGAGTGGCTTTTATTAGTACTTAATAAAATTATGTTTTCATAAGCTTTGTTATTTTGGGAGTAAAGGGCCCGATCATTAGCCCCGCCCCCTGGCCCGACGCCGACTTGCTCCGCCACTGCTGCAGCCTCTGCATATGGAGCGCCTCCTCTACCGCTGAGCCATGTGGCAACACAAGCCGGTCAAGCTTTAACTGCTTTGTCTTACCAGGAAAATATCTCTGAAACTGAAACTTCTCAGGGTTTGATGATTTGGAAACACAGAAACAACTGTGCTAACAGGTAAAGTATACTTCTCACCCTCTCTAGCTTTTTCCAAAATATCATTGTCTATGGCATCATGGAGCCAACCTGTAAACACAAAGGATAAAGGTCAGTTCAAATGAAGAACGACACATAGAGAAGACCTCAGGTCTTAGAACCTGCAGGAGTTCAGGTTCAACAGACAGTTCTCAGAGTTTTGTCTCAAAGTAAACCTCCAAATTCTCAGAAACAGCTTTGTTTGCTGTAGAGGTTCCTTATTGGACAGAGTGATCTTTGGGTAACCCCCAGAGACTCTTCATTGGCTCCTTGGAGTGACCTTTACCGCTAGAGACTCTTCATTGGCTCCTTGGAGTGACCTTTACCCCCAGAGACTCTTCATTGGCTCCTTGGAGTGACCTTTACCCCCAGAGACTCTTCATTGGCTCCTTGGACTGACCTTTACCCCTAGAGACTCTTCATTGGCTCCTTGGAGTGACCTTTACCCCCAGAGACTCTTCATTGGCTCCTTTGCCCCCTGTCAGACCTCTGGTCATCTTCTGGTCTGACATCCTTCAGTTTCTGACCCTCCTTCCATCAACCCATCTCCTCACACAGTTTCTCGTCACTTCTAGTCTTTTTCTCGACCCCTGGGTTTTTTTTCCCTCCCAATCTTCTCAGTTACTTGTCAGATCCTTCTGTTCCCATCAGATCTTTTGCCTCCATCTTGCTTTTCCTTTTCCATTAACTACAGTTCTGGAGGTTCATCATGAAAACTTCCTGCATGATGATCTGTCCTGTCTCCTGCCTGCATTTCGTTCTTAAAAACATCAATTCAAGGACTAAAGGCTTCTAATATATATTGTATTTTAAAGTACAGTAATAAAGAATTGTTTTAATAAAACTCAGGCCTGCCTTGTTTGTGACTCCAGGTTTCAAAAGGTATTTCTGCAAAAGGCAAGAAGAAATGATTAGTCACCAACATCTACATCTACAGCTCTGTACAGACGGTGAATGCTCCTACCGATCTTCCCATCCTCCACTTTGATCTCCACCAGGCTGTAAGCAAAGGTTCTATTTTCTGGTACCTGGTATTTGGTGCCCGTCTCCACCCTCACCTGACAGCACAAACCAAACCCAGAGAGGTTTATTTATTCATCTCTACACAAAAACTAAAACTATTCCTGAGTTAGAGAGAAATTGATTATCTCTGAACTGTCAGTGATTGTCATCCCATCTAAAACATCCAGATTAGTTTCCAGCTGACAGATTAATGAGTGTGCTGCTCTCAGCACCCATATAAACAGGCACCAAGATGTCCACCACTCTGAATCTCAGCACTGATCATGGCCCACTGCAGATGAAATGGTGTCAGGAACTCCCAGGCCACTTTTTCTTCCCCATCAGAAAATATCTGAGGCAATGTACTTCAGCTGAATATTTTTTAAACTGAGTTTTTCAGGTTAATAAACTTAAACTGTGGAGGCAAAGCTCTACTGCAGGGGGGCAGATGCCTCAAAACCCAATCTAGCTTATCGTCCTTCATTAACTTCAGTCAGCAGATATTCAGATGTTCTCAACATTTGTGACTCATTGAAGGTCCACTCACCCCAACACCCACATTCACCAGGCTCTGGTACGATCCTGAGACTCTTCCCTTACAGCTTCCTACACTGGTCAATGTCACAGGCTGAGTGTTGTACGCCCTCTCATAAACAAACCCCAGGGTGTTGTGTTTGGTCAGTTTCAGCTGCTTCAGGTCGTCTTTTTTAATCGTTCTGACAAAGAAGAAGATCAGCATCAGAAAACAGAAGCTGTTCCAACCTGCAGTGGGGCAGAACAGAGGGAAACAAGACCTACCTGCCCCTGAAAGTCTCCCTCACACAATCAAGATTGACTGTCTTTTTCTTGATGGTAGCAGAACTCATAGCATCCACAACATCAGCGCTTATCCCAGCATCAACAACATCTGCTGCCTTCACTTGGACGTCCCCACCGATCATTCTGTAGGTCTTGAAATCCACCGCCATCTCTTTCTCATTTTCACCTGCAAGGAACCAAGTGCAGCAGTGTGATGTTATTACACTAGATTGTGAAAAGGGCAGTTTACTGTTATAGGAAATTATATGGACACCGGCTGCTTTTATTTAGAAAATACGAAAATATGTAATTCTGAATTACTGTCTTTACTGTTGAGTGTATGAAGCTAATCTGAGTGTCAGTTTGGTGTTTAAAAAGATAAGTTTAAAGGTTATGGAGGATGCATTGTTTTGCCAGATTGGATTTTGTGGGGTAAGGTTTGAAGGTTTCTTTCTGTACTTAATGATTAGATTTTAAGCATGGTAAGTGATAGTCCAGTTACTGTTGTTGTCTAGCTGCTATTCCCACAAGACACAATGCAGAATCAACTACGCTACTCAAGAATCTCGATAAAACAGCTTCAAGTTACTCACCTGGTGAAAACGTCTTCTCCCCCACAAGCTTGGGTAAGGTGTACTGGAGCACTTTGTACTTGGGATAAGTCCAGAAAGTCCCCTTCTTGATTCTGACTAAAGTCAGAAGGTCTACTTCTGTATCTGGATCTTCATTGGGAACGAAACGCTCGCCAACTTTCAGGTTTTTGACGAACGCTGTGGCTGCAGCTTTGAACATCGTGTCTGGACACAGAAGATGAAGGAGACAGTCACATCTAATGACAAGGCAGTTTCTGCTAGTGTCAGAATGGTACTGAATGCTGCGGTTGGAATCCCCTCTGACAGGATCCAGTTCTGATCCGGTTCTGATCCCAGTCAGCTGGCCTCCACTGAGTCTGACTGGCCTTCATCCAGTCATTTCTTCATCCAAGCTTTACAAATCGCATTGTTTCTGCCACATGCTCTCATCTGAAGCCAGACTTGCTCCTCAGCCTGGGTCTCTGAGGCTCAGACTAAACGTTGTTTCCAGAATCGCCTCAGCTTGAAGACCGGCTCCAGAACTAGGTTTCCACTTCGGGATCAGCATCACCTCCTGCAGCACTACAATACTTCAAACATCCAGGGTACTGACCTTTGAACCCTCAGCTCCAAAACTGCTCCTTTGTGTTGATCCTGAAATGTTGCAGGAACTAAAGACTTTAGTTTAGTTCTGCAGTAATCTAAACTCTGTCAAATAATCCTAATCTGCATCCCTGAATCGTAAACATCTCCATCTACCAGGCTAAGACAGTTTAATAAACCTGATCAGTTCTCCACTGCATTGATTATGGATTTTAGTAACTCGTCTTCTGTCGGGTTTATCAGGTATCGGTCCTGATTATTGACCAGAACATTGACATTTATAGGCTGGACTGAAGGCTGCAGATTCCTTCATGAGGAAGTCGGTAATTATGCTGCACAGCAAACGTTCAAGTGTGGGGAACCTAAAGAATCCGACCTCAGGCTCTTTCTGTGGAACCACCGGATCCAGATGGACTGGTTCCACTGCTTTTCTGACTGTATGTTTGCTGATGACCCATTTCAAAGCATCGTGTCAGGTTCTGGTTCTGGATTCCTAAACCAGAGATTAAATCAGCCTGATGCTCCTGAGGTTTCTAGTCCCAACAGGAAGCAGAGAAACTGCAGCAGGTCGTCGTTATCAACACTGATAACGGACCGGCTCCGGCTCAGACGGGCTTCCAGGGGGGCATGGCTGACTGTGGGCGGCCAATCCCTGCCCATGCCGCCGGGCCTGGCTCTGATCCTCCATCAACTCCATGACAACCTGAGAAACTTCAGGACTGAAACCTTTCCTGCTCGCTGCGCTCTGTGTTGTAATATTATCTTATGTTTATCAAAAAAGTGACTTTCTTCTGGTTTTATGCCTTGGAGACGAACCCTGATGTTCAGGCTGATGATGCTACATGTCTACAACATGAGGGCATATGAAATATGCAACAACAGTCCAAATGTAAAATAACTTTATAACATTATTATTAACCCTTCGAAAAACAAACCAAAGAAAATCTGAAAACATAATTTAATCTCCAACAAAACCGTCAACCAGCCTGAACGTTTTAAAATTGTTTTGGTTCTGTAGAGATAATAACTTTTAAAGCCTCATTTAGTGAAATAACCGTAGTTTATGTGTAAAGTAAAAAGCCTTTCTGTGAACATCTGTTTGCTTCTGCAGACATGCAGCTGCTCCATGTCATGAGCAGTGAAGAAGCCAGAGGAGGTCTAACCTGGACATGAGGTCTAACCTGGACATGAGGTCTTACCTGGACATGAGGTCTAACCTGGACATGAGGTCTAACCTGGACATGAGGTCTTACCTGGACATGTGGTGCCGCAGCAGCGTCAGGCTGTGGCTCCTCTCGGCTTCAGCTGTTTATCTGTGAACAGAGTCACTTCCTGGATTTACGTGTCACATTCCACGCCATGTAATCTCACGCTACCAGAACTGTTCTGCTGTGAAGGTTGTTAACCACACAGGAAGCCAGTTCAGTCCAACCTCCCACCAACACGGGACACGTTTCTGTCAGCTCTCCTCCTCAGAGGTTCCTTCCTCTGCCCAGGACTCGTTTTACAGCTTTGAGGCTCGTTTACAGGAACATCTTAAAGCTGGAGGCGCCGAATCAGAGCCAACGAGTCTCAACACATCCTGAGGGACAAATCGGACCAGCTGCCACGTTTACATCAGCCTCACTGACTGGGCCCAGGCAGATGGGCCCAGTCAGTTGGACCCAGTCAGTTGGACCCAGTCAGATGGACCCAGTCAGTTGGGCCCAGTCAGATGGGTCCAGTCAGTTGGGCCCAGTCAGATGGACCCAGTCAGATGGAGGCTCCAAATGTTACCAATAGCCACCACAGTCCAGCCTAATGTAGGACCCATAAGCCCACTGAGGCTCAGCCATGTTTCATTAGCATGCAGCGCTAACTAGCAGCTAGCATGGTACCTTTCTCATGTCAGCCATTTAACCTGCATAGCTGCCATCACGGGACCTTCATGCAGCCCAGGAACCCAAACTGGACCCCACAGATCTCACATGGGGCCCTGGGTTGAGCTTTATTCATATTTACCAGATGGGTCCCACTCTGGGACCAAACCTGCATCTGCAGTGGAACGGGAGCAATCCACTTAAAGCCCCTTATTGTCCCCATACTGGTCTCAGCAGCAAATGAAATGTTACATCCACAGGGAGGATCAGGGCGGCCTTCCCTCCATCCAGGACTGCTAAAGGTCAAGGGTCAAACAGCAGCTAACATCTCTGCAGACCCTAATTCATCTGAATCTCCTCTGGAAACATTACAGGTTTGCAGAAAACATTTTATCACATTTACAGCAAATGGAACCAAAGTTAAACTTCTTGTTGGTTCACAAACTGATTCTGGTTTCTGCTCTTATTAAAACGTTTCTGTGTGAATTAAAGTCATTTTTAGTCCGTCTGTCTGAGCCGTTTTCATCAAGTCAGAGTTCCACCAGCAGGAGGAATAACCTGCCCATCGGTGGGTTCCGGGCGCCCCCTAGTGGCCTGCAAGTTACTGCATGTGAAGAACCATTTATCAGCACGTAGTGAGGTCAAAGTGCGATGCTACACCTAGGAGGCTAGCACCTGATTCAGTGTTTACAACACCTGTCAATCACACACTGCTGTCCTCTTCCCATTATGCACTGATTTGTATTTCATCTCCTTCTGGTATGTTTCCTTGTTTTTATTTTATTTTTTAACCCTTGTCTTTTCATTGGCACTTTGTCTTTTTTATTCTTATTGATATGATCAGAGGAAACCAAGTCGTTCACTAACAGCTGTGTGAACGGAACGACTCAGTTCATGAGAACTGTTCTTTTTAACTTCCTGTTCCTGGGTTTCAGTAAACTTCTCGCCGTGTTTCTTCTTCTGCACACTTTGTGCTACTTTTACTTTTCTGCTTTTCAGCTTGTTCTGCTGACAGGTCGGGTCAGGGTTACCAACAATCATCCAGTTTCTGAGCCGTCAGGGAAGAAACGCGGCAGCGGCCATTTTGAGGCTGGACAGTTAAACATCTCTTTAGGTCACCATGCTACTGCTAGCCTAGATGCTAACTGTAAACAAGTCACCAGTAGACTTGTGCAAGATTTTACAAAACAACATGACTTTTAATTTCAGGTTGTACATGTCAGGATGTTTTTGCAGGTCAGATTGTCCTCAGAGGGAATCGATGCTCTTCACTCTTCACTCTGCAGCCTGTGGACTCCCAACACGGCCAGAGCCAGAACCTCCAGCAGAACCTCGGGCCGCCGGTCCCACGCCGCACTCAGCTCCACCAGCGTCTCACTGGACCCACAGAGGACATCCGCCGCCCAGCGCAGCTCCCCGTCCTGCTGCAGGGGGACAGGGGGACACGCTGGGAGACTGGGCTCATCTCCGTCCTTCAGACTGTCCACCTGGAGACACAAGGAGACAGGATGAGGGACATGGAGACACAAGGAGACAGGATGAGGGATGTGGAGACAGGATGAGGGACATGGAGACACAAGGAGACAGGATGAGGGACATGGAGGGACATGGGGACAGGATGACGGACATGGAGACAGGATGAGGGACAAGGAGACACAAGGAGACTGGATGAGGGACATGGAGACAGGATGAGGGACATGGAGACAGGATGAGGGACATGGAGACAGGTGGACACATCGGGCAGGAGAAGCATTCTCAGGATTCTCAGGAGACAGTCGATGTTTGGTGAAACAGGAAGTTGACATTTTCGAGAGAAAAGTGGACGAACCAGTTGGATGAGGGCAGTCAGAGTTTCAGGACTACAGGAGGTCAAAGGTCGCAGCATTATCTCTGGTAGAGCTACAGAAAACAGAAGAGAGGTCAGAGGTTACTTCTCAACTCATTCAAATATCCACAAACATTTTCTGGCAGACTCACCGTCCATGGCGCAGACCAGAAGATGGACAGCGTCCCTCACCTTGGAGGACACTTTGGACTCATCCAAGACGTCCATGAAGGATGAAACGACCTTGGACGGGGGACGCTCTGTCTGTCCTTTGCTGCTCTGGTCCAGCTGACAGGAAGAGGAGAAGAAGAATCACCGTCTGATCAGACGCTAACATCTGGAGGCTAACCAGCTGACAGGCAGTGAGGGTGAAGGTCAGGGTGAAGGTCAGGGTGAAGGTCAGGGTGAAGGTCAGGGTGAAGATCGGGTCTGAACCGTTTCCTCCAGGAGACTCAGTGCCTCTCCTTCCTCCAGAACGTCCTGGAGGCATTTCAGCAGATCACGGCGAGTTGACACAGGAAGTTCCTCCAGTGGCTGCAGAAGAACCTCCTTCATCTCAATCCCTGCAGGAAACGGCAGGAAGTTATCAGCAGTGAGGTCACATGGTCAGTGATGGAGAGGAGGAGGATGAAGATCAGCTGGGAGAGTCACCGTCTCTGGCTTGTTCGATCAGGTCACAGTTCACCGCATCGTGGCTCAGACCTGCCAGCAGAACATCAAGGTATGGTCACATCATCTGTTAGCCGGTTTTAGCCTCAGGCGAACATTCGGGTCTAAAGCTTGACGCCCGACACGCCGTCAGACGGAAACCAACCTCTTCGTTTGTGACTCCAGCTTTCTAAAGCGATTTCTGCAGAAGGTGAGAAGAAACAATGACTCCCCTGACAATGACCAGGAGGGCAGTGAAGACACGGCGGTGCTCCTACCCATCGCTCCGTCCCGCAGCAGCACCTCCACCAGGCTGAAGGCGAAGGTGGACTTCTCTGGCACAGTGAAGGTGGTGTCCTCCTTCGACTTGCCCTGATGGAGCAAGTCAAACCCAGGAGGAGAGATTACTTTACTCAGCCAACGTCACGTTATGTTAGTCCAGGGCTGGGCAGTCCTGGTCCTGGAGGTCCGAGTCCTGCAGCTCTTAATGTCTCCCTGTCCAACACACCTGGTTCCAGCAGCTGAAGCTCCTCCTCAGTGCATCAGGTTCTGCTAACGACCTCGTTATTTGACTTAGGTGTTGAAGTAGAGACACATCTAAAAGTTGCAGGAGACCCTCCAGGCCTGGAGTGACCACCCTGGGTTAGACAGTCACTAATTTCCATCAGCTGCTCTGGAGCCACAAAGCCAGCAGGGGGCGCACTAGGCTCTGCTACACAGAGCTGCCAGACATTTACTGTACTGTGCCTCTTGTCTCTGCTCTGAGTGAATCCACGGCCATGAAATCGTCTACAACATGGAGGACGTTCAGCTGGTCCTCTGCTGTCCAGCTGCTGCTCCTGGACACACGAGGTCCAGATGCAGAACAAGTGCTGTGGCTGTATGACATCACTTCCTGCTCTGACATTAAGCTACAGAGAGGCTGGAGCTGATATGTCACAGACCCACATAGATCTAGATCACATAGATCTGAACTGAACCCATCAGCTCCAAACAGTTGATGGTTGCTGAATCCAGAAATAGGCATTCTAGATGTGTTCTGATTTAGCTTCTCTCACCTTAAAAACCACGTTGGCCAATTTATGGAAGCTGGCGGAGAAGCAGCCGTCCTTCTTGTCCTTCTTGACGATGGTCACGGGTCCAGAGTTATAAACCGTCTCATAAACAAAGGTCAGCAGGTCGTTTTCCTTCAGCTTCAGCGCCTGCAGCGTACCGCCGCTGATCGGCCTGCAGAGCGGCAGGTCAACAGGAAGCGGCAGGTCAACAGGAAGCGGCAGGTCAACAGGAAGCGGCAGGTCAACAGGA